TTCTATGAGAATTCAGGACCACAGGTGTTTTGCCTGAGGATTTGGGTGCAGGTGGTTGTGAGAGTCAAAGAGGTTGTTTAAGTAACAAATCTGTCTCTAGAACAACAAACCCTAGCTGGCCTCTGTGAAGATGGATATGGAGAGGCAGTGGGGGGCCAGGCTCAGAGCAGGAAAGATCCTGGACTTTGCTATTTTTGCCCTCCTTAAAACATTTGCAGCAGTCTTGCATCTTGTTCATGTCCTTCCTCTCTAATTGACCTGTTCCTTGGAGTCTGCTGTCAGGTTTAGCCAAGTCCTGAAGAAGTAGCAGGAGAAAACTGGTTGTGAATTCCCATAAGACATATTCTGCTTAGGCAAATCAGCACCAGAACATCTTTGATGGCTGTTCCCAGTGCTGCTGTCAAATGGTGAAGTGGCTGCAGGCACATGGAGCTGAAGCCCCCCTTTGATTTGAGCCATAGGCTTCAATAGCTGGTAGTTCTGAGAAAGTACTCAAGATAGGTGAATTACCTGGTACCCCTGAAATACCACCAAATGGCCCTCTTCTTATCAGAACTGCTGCTAGAGTTGAAAGGACAGGGTGAGAAAAAGCCAAACACCTCTAGAAAGCAGGACTAGCTCTGAGGAACCTGCCTTGCATGGAGCCAGAGGACTGGGCTTTACATAGGTCTACTGTACTTCAAGTCAACCACTAGGTGGAGACACCAATCTTAAGAGGATGGGGGAGGGGCGTTATATAAGAGATTTTGTGTCTACTGTCCTGAGACAAAAGATGGCCTTATGGTGGAAGGTCAGGACTGGGATTCAGGTGTTCAATTCACAGTATTGCTACAGACTTCCTGTGTAAATTTAAGCAACTCATTCTCTTTTGTGCCTCAGTTCCCCATCTGTAGCATGGGGATAATATTACTTTCTTTTCCCCACCCTTTTTAGTCTGTTGAGATTGTAAACTCTTTTGAGCAGGGACAGTCTCTTACAAAGTGTCTATACAGTGCCTCACTGAATGGGACCTCGATCTCAGACGGTACCTGTATGTGCTACTGCAATAAAAATAAATAATAACAATAGCAACAAGTACACGAGGAAGAAAAGAATATTAATAATTTACCTCTGAGATGTACAAAGGCACCAATTAAAAACCAAAAGCCCAGCTCAAAATATATAAATAATCCTAGACAATAAATTGGAAGTCAACATACAAAGTCAATGGCTGCCATGTTATTTAAAAGACATAGACACACTATCCCTATTCAATATCCATAGTATGCTAAAGTGCCTTCGTACACCATGTGTACACTATAAGTACTGCAGCAGCTTGTGCCTCATAGCATACTGCAACTCATATTGTAAGGGTTTCCACAAAGGTCCCAGAAATATGAACTCTAGCTTTTGTATGACAATCAGAAAATAACTGATCATTTGCCAGTGCCCTGCTGGTGAGCTGCCACTCCCACTCCAGGGACACATTTCAATTCCATACTCTTTTGCACTTCCTGGACAGTGTTGGTTAAATTTTTAGGACAGGAGATCATATTTTACCTGCACTATAGTTACAAAAATAGCTATTGTAACTACATACACACACTGGGTGTGTAGCAGTTCTACGTGCAATATCAAAGTATAGACCGAAAAATACAAGAAACGCTGTACAAGAAATACAAAGTCATAATAGAAAGATA